TGTGTTGTGAGCAAGACACGAGAAGTCATTCTTCCGCTTTACTCTGCGGCTTGTAACATACATGGTAAAACTCCACCAACCAAGAGTGGAGGTGACCCAGAGGCAGACCCCCATTACATGGGTTCATCAAGTCTGTTCCAATGTTGGACTCTCAAGCTGTCAAGCCTTTGTGGTTGCGCAGGAACGGACCAAATGGCAAATGATCACTATGGCCGACTGTCTGGCTAAGCGTTGAAGAAGAAGAAGTGGATGCAGCTTTTCACAGGGAGCCCCACTGACTTGTGCAAAAGTCGGTCTTCATGTGAAGCATTGCAGGACCCAGGCCTAATCCCCATTATCATGCGAAGACTCTATGTATGCAAACGCCCGTGTCTCAGTGGAGCCTAAAGGGGGCCTAAAATACTAATAATACAAAGGCGTACTATGGCAGATACTGAGAGGGCAGGGACTAGACCTGCCCAGAACTAAAGGTTTGCCCCCTCAATTGATGGGGAGGAACCACTGAACCCAAACCACAACTGAAGTTGTGGGGCAATAAAAACAAAACAGGACAGGGAGTAAGGCTCAATTGTTAAATATCAGGGAACCAGAAGGGAACAATGATCAGAGAACCCCCAACAATGCCCACTGCTTCTCAAAGGCATCTAAGGACTCAGTGGAGCCTACCCAGAAGAATTCTGTTTGGAGTCTTGACTTAACAAGGAACTTGAAATAGTCCCCCAAATTGCAGAACAACCCCAATCCAACTTCCTCCTCCTAGTGTGATGGATGTCTGTATTGGCCTATGCCAGGACTAGGTTGATAAGGAAGTCTCATTACTTTGTGGAGCCACAGCTGGGGTGTGTGTAAGGGGGTTTAAAGGGATTTGGGATGCAGGAGGGGGCTCCAGGCTGGGACCAAGGGGTTCGGAGGGTGGAAGGGGGGTTAGGGATGGGTGGGGCAGAGCAGGGGAAGTGTGTGCAAGCTCCATGCAGCATTTACCTCAAGCAGCTCCCAGAAGCAGCGGCATGTCCCCCCTCCAGCTCCTACGCGGAGGCGTGACCAGGAGGCTCTGCGCACTGCCCTGTCTGCAGGCTCCAGCCCAGCAGCTCCCATTGACCATGGTTCCCTGCCAATTGCCTGGGAGCCGTGGAGTCCGTGCTCAGGGAGGAGGAATGGAGACAGCATGCAGAGCTGCCTGGCTGTGCCTCTGCCAGAAACAACAGGGACAGGGAGCCACTTGTGGGGAGCCACTTTTGAGCACCCCCACGGACCTGAAAAATTTTACTGTGGACACTTGTGTCTGTGTACAGACATGTTGCCGACCCCTGCCAATTCATCCCACACTAGTGGGCTCCATAATGTGGTACTTGAGTGTGGTGAGGTGATGAGGATGCTGACTTGTTCAAGGGGCTATCCTCCCTACAGCAGCAAGAAGTGTTACTCACAGTGGGAAAAGTCTCCACTATGTAAGGCACTTCCTTGGTGTTTCTAAATCCGGTTGGCTGAAGATCACAAGTTCAGTCAAGCCCAGTTAAACTTGTCCAGACACTATGCAGAGGCATACAACACATGGAGAAACCTGACAAAATGGGATGTGAAGCTGAATGCCCATGGAATGTCCAAGATAGACCTGTAATCCATCCTGTCAAACATCTTCTCCTGGTCCAGGGAAAGGCGGACAAGTGATAGACTATCCCTACATGATTGAAGGAGTAGGTCCCAGATCAGATAGAGATTGCCAAAGATCATCCAGCACAGGATGGTGTATGTATGGTTCGGGTGGATCATGTCCGACAGAATGGACCTCAGCTGCTGCAAGATGGCTTTTGCTATGATTCTGTAGTCCATGCTGAGGTGCTAAACTGGGCACCAATTCCATAAGTCATGGGGATCCCCCTTTTTGGGCAGCAGGGTCAGCAGTGCCTACCTTCAGAACAATGGGAGCCCCCACTTTCCAAGCATTCTGCCCAGCAGGCAGCAAGGTCCAGGCCAGGGATTTCCCAGAATGTGTGGTAGAACTGGTCAGTACATCGATGCCTGGAGATTTGTTTGTGGGCATCAGATGGAGAGCTTCTCAAAACTTGGCCAGAGTGAGAGGGTTCTCTAACTGGTCTCAGTCACCCATGCTATCCCTTGGGAGTACAATGCTGGTGCTTGCAAGGTCTTGTGGGATGGCTAGGTCTGGGGAGAAGAGGCTACCATAAAAGCCCTCATCCTTTCCTACATCTACACTGGAACTAGAAGGGATATGCTGTCCTCCACCAGGAGCCAGGTTTTGTGCTTTTTGGCACCCCTCTTTTTCACCAGGGCATAGAAGTGGGAACTGTGATTCATCTCCAGAAAGAACTGAATGTGGGATCTAACAAAAACATCCCTGGCCCAATGGTCATCAACAGCATTGAGCTCATCCCACTTCTCCTTACATTGCAGAGAGATGGATTCCTGGGGCAATCAGCCAGGCACCTCTCCCACTCCACTGCTCCATCACCATGTCCCGCTGTCAACTGCCCCCCTGGGAGATAAGCATGGCAGAAGAACTAGATGTACATACTTTCCCCACATCCCACTACCTCTGTGCCAAGGGAAAGGCATGCCTCTGCCCCCCATTAGGCCAGCCAAGATTCTCAGAAAGATGCCATAAAGCCCATGTCCTCCAGCAGACTGTTGTTAAAATACCAGTGGGTCAACCCTGTCTGATCAGTCATTTATAAAGCCACCTCAGCCACTAGAAGGTGGACTGAAAATACAGTTGTCCTGATGCTGGAGAAGTGGACCTGCAAGATGTTAAATGGGGAAACATAGATGCAGTCCAGCTGGGAGTGGCATAACTGAGTATCAAAGAAAGGGGTAGTGTTTTTCTCCAAATCCAATGGGGAGGGGTCAGGCTGGGTCTCATGATCTGACCCAATGCTGCTCCCAGGTTTAACATAATAAATAGTATAAATATCTATTTATAGTAATTCTAAGAATATTAGTCTGACACGACTTAGTTTTCATCTGCAGTGCACTCTCTGGCACTCTTTTCTTATAATTTTTGCTTTTCTTCAAAAAAGAAATAAGCCATATATATTTCTCCCCAAGTTCTGTAACACTGTATTTAACACTGTGAAAACAGTGGAAAAAAGACAAACAACAACTCCATCCCAACTAGGCTTTCCACTCAGCCCTGAGCCTACCTCTTTTGCTCAAGTAATGAGGCAGATTGTTACACAGTATATAACATTATGAATTTATTTCAGACCTCCAACATGCTAACATGACTTAAGAACACTTCAGCCCTGTTTCTGATCTCACTTTTACTGTGACTATTTTAGATCAGAAATAATTATTGTGGACTCAGACTGACTCAGTTCAGCTTTAACTTTCACCCCTTTGCTTTAGTTACATTGTTTCATAACTTTTAATAATTTCTAAATGTATTGCTGAATTTTACACCATATGCACTTGAGAAATATACATGTTTTTTGCCTAGCTCCTGTTCACATAGTATACCAGAATATACTTATATAAGCAAACCAAAGCCGGTACACATTCACCATTTTTTTTTTTTTGCTTTCAACTCCCGCAAACTTTAGGATCCTTAGAAGAAAATGTGTTCTCCCTCTGATGTAAGTATTTTTAATGAATTAGCCCCTAAGCCATTGACCTCCTACTAAGCCTTAAAACTATCAAGTCAATAAACAACTTAAGCCTGCACACAAAGTAAATCCCTTATATTCTTGTCTACGGGTGAATGCATATCTAGAGTGGTATTGATTATGTAATTCATTCTGATGTTTCTGCCTGAGGTATCACTAAAAGCATTGAGATTCCAATGACACATATGATAGGAGATCAGGAACGAGAACAAAAGAATTATATACCATCCCTGCCATCTGTTAAATTAAAAAAAATCCTTAAAATTGTCAATTAAGAACAAACTAATGGTAACTGTCAAGAAATATTGCATTGCTGAGAACTGAGATTTTACTTATAGGATGCTGCAGGTGCCCAAGAAGATTATAAAATTAGGGGTCAACTTTAAGTGGTTGAATACAATATGGGCAGTGTTTGGATCCAGAATGCAGAACTCGTCCTGTGGAGGACTCCCACTCACTGCTGTTCTTCTCTGGGAGGGAGTCTTATAGACCTTTACTCTCTCTTTTCCTTGGGACTTACCATGAAGCCATTATAGGATTTGTCCTTCTAAGTAGTAGTACTAGCAGTGGAAAGGATTGTGCTACTCCCTGATGCTGTGTGTTTAGATGATTACAATCCCTTGGTAGTCCCATTCTGAATTAGGAGGCTGATGACTTTGATTTGTCAATCTCCATGAAGAAGCAGAGAAGCCAGCTGAAGCGTCATGAGTGTGGCCAGGTCAGGTGGGGGACAGAAATAGCAGAGCCTTAGCTGGAAAAGTCCTTGAAATAATTGTTCTATTTTGGCTAGGATGCCATGTGCAAATTAACATTCAGATGGCTGCCAGGTTCAGATTAATATCTCAACCCCAAATTCAACTCTGGCAGTATCCCAGTCTGGACACCTCTGCAATCTAGAATGAGTCATTTCCCTCTTTACTGAAAGATCTGTCTGTGTGGTTAAATTAAAAATCCCTTTCATATAATTAGCAGTGCTTATTTAGGCTTTTTTTCTCCTTTCCACTATAGTTGTGAGTTTTGAATTTCAAAAGAAGACAAATATAGTAAACATATGCTAATGGAAAAATATGTTTGACACATTACGGTACCTAAATGAATGCATAACAAATAAAAATTACAATACTTTGAGTACAATACAGTCAACAATATACTGAAATATGTCAGAAATCACTGCTTGCTTCCCCAAGTGGGAAGCTAAATTAGTATGGAAAATTAGTCTGTTGTGCTAAGACTGACTTCATTTATCTGTTTCTCCATGATTTTAATGCAATTTGTAACACTACAATAAGATATGTCACTGGGACTTAAATGGGAATCATTCATTTAAAGAATCACAAATAGATATAAGGTAACTTTGCAACTGTTTACTTGATTTCACAGCATAGGAATAAAAGAACACATTTGCTGAAGACGCTGTTGCTGTTACCTAAATCAACACCCATGTTTAACAGTTAAAAGCGACAACCTACAAGGAAGAAGGTCTCTTTTGTTAATGTGCCTCAAAAAGTGTACTTAAGTGTTTGAGTTTGAGTGAGAGGCCTAAAAACAGGTAATATGATGGTTGATTTGATTGTTAGATACTATTCATAGTTTACTTGTTTGTAGAAATAGTATCATTTTAGTTTTGAAAAGTTACAAAGCACTTGTAGAAATTTCCTCATGATTTAAGTGTGGTTTGACACTTCCCTTTTTGGGTATTAATCATCTTCTTTTCAACAGTTTGCATCCAGTAATTTCTAATTGTCCATCTAGCTGCAAGGATTGTGTGGTATGGGGTTTCCAGCATTTAGATCCCCAGTGGGAAAAAGTTGATCTCATGGTCTGATATCGTGGTTAAAGTAACAGACTAAGGCCTGGTCTACACTACGAGTTTAGGTCGAATTTAGCAGCGTTAAATTGAATTAAGCCTGGACATGTCCACACGACGAAGCCCTTTTTTTCAACTTAAAGGGCCCTTTAAACCGATTTCTTTACTCCACCTCCGACAAGGGGATTAGCGCTGAAATCGGCCTTTCCGGGTTGGATTTGGGATAGTGTGGATGGAATTCGATGGTATTGGCCTCCGTGAGCTATCCCAGAGTGCTTCATTGTGACTGTTCTGGACAGCACTCAGATGCACTGACCAGGTAGACAGGAAAAGCCCCGTGAACTTTTGAATTTCATTTCCTGTTTGCCCAGCGTGGAGAGCACAGGTTACCATGCGGAGCTCATCAGCACAGGTAACCATGATGGAGTCCCAGGATCGCAAAAGAGCTCCAGCATGGACCGAACGGGAGGTACAGGATATGCTCACCATATGGGGAGACAAATCAGTGCTAGTGAACTCCGTAACAGTAAACAAAATGCCAGAACATTAGAAAAAGTCTCAAAGGGCATGAAGGACAGAGACCATAACAGGGACGCACAGCAGTGCCTCGTGAAAATTAAGGAGCTAAGACAAGCCTATCACAAAGCCAGAGAGGCAAACGGAAGGTCCGGGCAGAGCCGCTGACATGCTGCTTCTACACAGAGCTGCATGCCATGCTAGGGAGTGCAGCCACCACTACCCCAACCCTGTGCTTCGACTCCATCAATGGAGAATCACGCAACATGGAAGCGTGTTTCGTGGACAAGGAAGATGATGATGATAAAGACAATGAAGATAGCTCACAGCAAAGAAGCGGAGAAACCGGTTTCCCCAACAACCAGGATATGTTTATCACCCTGGACTTGTAATCAGTAAGCCCCGAACTGACCCAAGGCATGCTCCCAGACCCTGAGGGCACACAAGGGACCTCTGGCGAGTTTACCTTTGTAAATATTACACATGGTTTAAAAGCAAGCGTATTTAATGATCAATGATTAATTTGCCCTGGCAATCACATCCAGTACAGCTACTGGAAAAGTCTGTTAATGTCTATGGGGATGGAGTGGAAATCCTCTAGGGACATCTCCAGAAAGCTCTCCTTCATGTACTCCCAAAGCCTTTGCAAAAGGTTTCTGGGGAGGGCTGCCTTATCCCGTCCCCCATGGTAGGACACTTTACCACGCCAGACCAGTAGCATGTAGTCTGGAATCATTGCATAACAAAGCATGGCAGCGTATGGTCCTGGTGTTTGCTGGCATGCAGACAACATCCATTCCTTATCTGTCTTTGTTATCCTCAGGAGAGTGATAGCATTCACGATCACCTGGTTGAAATGGGGTGACATTCATTTATTAAGGGGACATTCAGAGGTGCCCGTTCCTGCTCGGCTGAACAGAAATATTCCCCGCTGTTAGCCACGCGTTG